GTCAGACTTATAATCAGAGAAGCCGATGATTACAGGCACACAGGAACCAAAGTCTGTGTTGATGCCCAGCTGCTGTCCCTTAAGATTTGTACATGGACAATGATGACAGACTTGTTCTACTTCTACTGTGCCACCTGAATATATAAATAGCATCTATATAGCATCTTCCAGGAACTACAAATAGGATCTGGAATTATTCCTACAGAAATCAATGGAAGTCTTACTGATGATTTTAATGAACATTGGACCAACTTCAAGGACAGGGAAAGAAAAGGTTTTGTTCCTGTGAGTACCTTAGGCCTATTCTGACCTCCACTACAATGTCTTATTTTTTTCCAAGCATTTAACAGGAACAACTGTTTGTTTAGGTGTTACACAATTATGCTATGGGGAAATGTTGAATTACAAAATAAACTGCATTCCTGACAAATTGTAATTACTGCCCAAGAGAGTGAACACCAAGAAACTGCTTCCTCCCAGTTGTGGGAACCAGGGGTGTGCTGTGCACCTGATCAGAAAAAAAAAGAATTAAAGCCCCCAAATAAAAAAAATAAAAAAATTCCCACAACCAGAGGACTTGCACTGATTCACACCAACATGTTTGGGATTTCAGAGTTCTGAGCAGATGTGAGATAGGGGACTGGGTTAAGGGGGACCAGTGCCTAGTAACTGTGGTTACATGAACTGACATAAAGGAAATTTGAGATTAGAAACTCTCCCCCAAATCCAGAGGCCAAAAGTATACTTCCTGTTTACCAGATGTAATCCCTTTCACTTCCATGATACAGCTCCAGATACACATAACACATGCAAAGGGCAGGATCTTGTCTCTTCATGTCTTGTTTTTTTCACAGTGTTTTACCAAGAGTTTCAAAGATATGTCACCATCACCTCAAAATGTTTTAAACCCCCTAAACTGTACATCAATTCTCAAAATTCCTGAGATATATTAAAAAGTAGACTTAAAATTAATAAACACTTAGCTCTTTTAATTTGCCCACTCCCCTTTCACAGTGTGTAAAGTTCATGTATTTCAGATTTTTGTCTAAAGGCACAAGGGCTAAAAATATATTTATTTTCCAATGAAAAATTAGATTCTCAGGGTGAAAACCAGATTACAGTCCATATCGTGAAATTCATGAGGCCGAAGGACTTAGCAGTGGCAAGGTGACAGACTCCAGTCAGATGAGAGCAAGAGGTGGGTGGCCAGCCAGAGTTATCAGGGGCTTATTCTTCTTCAAAACCAGATGAAACTAAATTGGATCCAAGGGGTTCAACGTGTAGTGAGCATGACCCTAGATCACATTCATATCAGGTGCTCCTGCACCCTGCCATACAGGCAGGACTGCTGCTGCCATCGATCCCTCAGTGCATGCCAGACCCACCCCAAATCACATAATTCCCCTTATCTGGGCTCTCACCAGTCTGACGGGGATGGATGTGCTCCTCCCTTCATGTCTGTAGTCCTCCCAGGGCCTGCCCACCCACAGGGTGCCAGGTCTCTTCACAGAAATGGGAGCACAGAGTCACCATGTGGGGCCCCAAAGACCCTGTGATGGCTCACTCCCCTTCCCCACTGAGCCTGGGGCTTACGCACCCCATCTGCCAGAGGTCAAGCCTCCACACACCCGGGGGCCTGCAAACAACTCTCCAGAGAAAAATGAGAGTTGAGGGACACAGACAGGCTCTGTGAACTCATCTTCAACAGAAGACAGATACATGTGAGGTGTGAGGCTGTGGATCAATAAAACAGGAACATTTGTTTCTGTTTCCTCACAAAAGGAGAGCATCTTTGGTCTTAGGGCAAAGTCCTCATAGCTGTCCTCCATCTTTCTCTTACAGTTCATAATTTATCTCTGAATCTTGGAGACAGTTAAACAGCCTGTCTCCTCTGTCCCAGCTGATTTCCTTTGATCTTGTCTGGACAAGCAGTTAAATAAAAACAAGTTCCTCAGCTCCACCTTCTTGAGGTACCTCTTTCCTTCAAAAACAGAAGGCTTTGCTTCTCCAGCCACTCTTGATTTTTAATTTCTATTATCTGTAGGGGAAGAGGGGCACACTCTCCACCTTCTCCTGGAGAAGCCACAGGAATCAGTTCTCATACCTTCAGCTAATCTCTTGTCCTCTACCTATGTTTCCATCTAAACATGGGATGAGTAAGGCTTACTGATATACCATTATCCCCAGGTTCTCATCTGGGAAAAGATCAGAACCAAAACTAGTATGTTTAGCAATAGCAGAAGCCATGATGAAAAATTACCTGTATTGTATGGATGTTAAAAGCTTCCCAACCAGACAAAGGATGAGGCAATGCCTTTTCTTTTGTGCCACAACAGCCTCTTCCAGCCAAACAGCTCTCACCTTTATCTGTAATATCGCCATTCAGAAAGGCTCAGACACTACACATTTTTTTTACATATTTATCCTCACAGTTCTCCCAGAATCAGGGAGATGACCTTTTAAAATAAATGGGAAACTGAGGCGCAGAGAGACTGAGTAGCACACCAAAGGTCACAAAGGACACCTGTGGGGTAGCAGATCAGGCTCTCAAAGGCCACTCTTGAGTGCTTCAGCCACTCCACTGCTCCGCTGTCAGTCAGGTTTGGAGCCAGGAGGTGATATCTGAACACCCTTTTAATAAAAAAACAAAAAAAACCCCACCACCAACAACAAAAAAACCCCAAAACAAACAACAACCAAACAACCAAACAAAAAACAACCAACCAACCAAAAAAAAAAAAAAAACCCAACAAAAAACAAGTAAAGCTTTCAGATATAGATCCAAGATTCAAGTCTTAATTCTCCACAGAAGATCAGTTTGCTTCAATTTCAGTCATGGACAGCTAAAGAAATGTTCTGGGCCACATCTTCTACTCGTCCAACCCTGCACAAAATCACTCAAAACCAAGCCAGCTTCACCAAAGAGTCACTGACTGTGAAAAAGGAAGAAGGTAGAGGAGCAATTCCATTTTCCCCTCCCCATTTTTTGTAAATCCTGCCTTTTCTAGCATATTATTTAAACAAATGAAGGGAGCATGGGTTGCATTTAGGATGAGCTTCAGCCTCCACCCACCTTCCACCTGTAGTTGATAGCTGGACCAATTCTCCAGTGCAGCCAGTCTGTTGACACTCATAACTTGTCCTTCTAAGCAAAAGCACATCAAAGACAACAGACTTTGGGCTGGTTAAGAAGTATTTAAATAGCTTTCCAACTCAATGAGGCATTTCAAGATTTTCATTAACAGTAATTATGCAAGAAGTAGAGGTCACCACCAGAAATTTTACAGAGCTTAAAGAGGCAGGATTCAAAATGAATTTAAAGTTAGAAAATTAGATTGTACATTAACATAAGAGACATTGCTACTGTGAATCATTGTCTCAAAAAATTAATTGCCTTTTTTTTTTCTTACGTTGCTTTTTGCAAATTTTGACTATTAAAGCACAGAAGTTTTAGATCTGAGGTGCCATTAATAGGACTCAGTGAGGTAAATGGTAAATGAAGGGAAACATCATGTTGGATTAGCCCCCTAGATTATCATGCAAATATTCATTTATGATTTCAGACAAGGAGCAACAAAAATCCTGTCTTTTGCCAACAAGATCTTTCCCTCATTCTTCTTATCTACTACATCAGGCCAACCTAACCCAGAGAGAGCTAAAGATTTTGGTTTCTGCTGTAGAAACAAAATTCTCTACCTCAAAAGTGCTTCCATGTAGGTGGATTCTGAGCAGCGACATTTATAGGATCGTTGCCCTTGTGTAAGATGCTGGCTTTCTCTCTGGTAATATTCGAGGAGCAGCAACAGAAGAGCTGTGACAAAGCTGGAGGCCCTTGGAAACCATTTTGATTTACGGAAGTAGCTGCACATAGCACTGTGAAGCTGACCCTTGTGCTCCTTCAAGAGTGAGCCTGTACTTAGAAAATTCATCTTTCATTTTTGCACCACATGGGTCGGAATCTCCAAGGGACTGTAGACATTCAAAATGCAATGAGCCTACTCTTCGAAGGGTTGTGGTGTACAAAGCCAGCCTCAGTGCTCAGTGTGAGTGCTGATGCTGGGCTTTCCACCCAGCACGCTCCCTTGCTCCAGGGCAGCTATAGCCTCATTATGAACAAATGCTGATTGTGCCCATGCACAAACGCTGAGTAAGAGGACGAAGGCAAGCAAAGACTTCTTGAGCTTTTTCCCCATGGCTTGCAATTCTGTAGAGACTAGTTACATATTGGCTGCTCAGATGAAATTCTTAAGAGGTATTTGAACATTTAACTAAGCAAAGTTTCACAGAGAGATGTAATCAAGGGCCTCTATCAAGATCCATCTTACTGAGGGAAACAGGCTTCTTGAAACATGGGAGCGGTATTCCCAAGGAGAATGACAACCTCTTTGATCTTACAAGCATACAGATTCTTCAGAGAGCAGCCAAGCCACCTGTAATGGGCCCATTCTTTAAATGTCACTACTGCCCATACAGAGGAACTTCAAATATTATCAGTGGGATTATTCTAGGTTGGCAACATTGAACAAGTAAGTACAACCTGGCATGCTAGTTTTCTTTATCCATTTTTGATTCCGGAGTTGAGAGTATCAAATAGATTGAGCAACTCAGGGAAACATTTGAAACCATCAGCAGGACATGCTCCAAAATCACGGAGGACATCAAATGTCTTGCTCTCCAGGAATAAGGAGAGGCCAAGTCCTCAGCAAACTCTGCTGACAAGTGAAGCTCATTTGGCTTTGAGAGCAATACACTGATTTCTATCAGCTGCCAAACTGTCCATAATGGCTTTAAAATACACTGTAATGTAATAGGATTAAAGTCATAATATATTCTTACAGAGCTACAGAAGCTGTAATTTCATGTTCAAGCTGCAAGAATCTAGATTCCTTTAGAAATGGATGTGAGTTCACTTCCTGGTCATGCTAGTAAAAGACCTCTGTGATTACAGGGCACGGGAGAACCAGCATCTCTATAAATACGAAGTAAGAAAGTTTCCTTACCTAAGTAGTATAGGGTCTGCATGTTGTTGTTTGAACTACAGGCTCTGAAGGTACAAGTTAAAGCAACACATGAGTTAATTCATTCAGGGGCTGCTACTGGGTAAATAATGCATAATAATGGCAAACGATACTTCACAAAAGGCATACGTTGAGTTAAATGCTGTGGACCGTCCTCGAACAGAACTGCCTGCCCTTAAGAAGTCTTTAGTTTTGATTAATCATTTGTAATCTGATCAAATTGAAGAAAGCAAGCTGCCTGGTGCAAATGACTATTTTCACTTTCTTAACAGCTGACCCAACAACTGGGCACCCTTCTGGATTGAGGAACAAATTAATATTCCTCAACTGACTTGAAAGCATTTAAAGATTGAAATAGGCTGCATATGGGGATGTAGCTAAAAGTGGGTTAAGTAGTTAGCAATTAGCTGCATATAAACCATGAATCAGTCTGTTTTGATGATAAGACTCTAATTTCAGCTTTTGCCTTTTCAGTACGTTTCTCAAACACAATAGGTAGGCTTATACTGAAATGTGAGCAAAATATAGCTCTTCTGTTGAGTGAACACATTTCTTTTTCCTTCCTTACTGCTCTCAAGGAACCGAGAGAAAGGTTCAGTGCAGCACTGCAGACACTTTATGAGGTTGTATTTGTATGAACAAGCACTTCAAAAGACACGAGGAAAAGATTCACATTACTGTTTGAGTGGGAAATGAAAGACATCACCAATACGATCAGTAGATCAGACTTCCTGTCTGATATCATGTTTTTAAGTTGTTCAACGTGACTGTCCATAAAAAGTTGATGAGTACTAAACACATGATTTCCTCTAGCCAAAATTTTCCCCCTTCTTAAATTGAAAATAAGGCTTGTATTTCATGTTTGTTTATCAAGTTTGTTTTATTACTATTATTATAATATAATAAATACTTATATCTCTACCTGAATTCACAGAGTAAAATTAATACTGATGTTTGAAAAGGAGACTAGAGGTAACACAGAAGTTTAAGAAACACCAAATGAGGAGTCCATTTATCTGAGGGATGCAAAAAAAAAAAAAGCAACACTAAAAAACTCTTGAGATTCATCTTAGTTTCTGTCCAAAACTACTTTAATCGGAGCCATTTTATAGTTTAACTCGCTTGCACTCCTTGATTTGAAAGAGGATGTCAGAGGCCTGGTCTACACCTTGATTAGTAACAATCTGATCAAACACACTAGATTACACAGGGATGAGTTAAATGAAAAGAGGGTATAGCCATGGCTGTTTTAACCACTAACGACAACATCGGCTAATTTGAACAACAATTTTATAAGGATTGATTTTATTTTTTTTTTTGGACATGATGATTTTATTATTTGGGCTTTCCCCCAGATTTCCTTCTACTCAGAGTATTTTAGACTAAAAAGTGTCCTCTGGCTGGCTGGAGAGAAAGGATAGATGGTGGCATAAGAGTTCTGGGGGTACCCGTTCACTGAGGCCAGTTGCAGCACTGTCTATCACAATAGATCCATACATTAATTCTGTTAGCATTTTGTGCATGAAATATATCATCAAATTGTGCATATTTCTTTCCTAGTATGCACACACGGGAAAAAGCCCTTTCTGCAAGGATGGAATCAAGAATACAAAGGGAAACAATTTTTCAGAGATGCAACCTTCACCTCTGCTTTTCATTAGCCTCTCAAAATTTCATGACTTACTTTTGACCTCTAGATTTCTTATTACTCCTACTCCATTACAAAGGCATGCACCTCCAAACCACCACTAATGACAGTTATTTATATTTATATTGCAGTTGTAAGCCTGGTCTTGGCAGGATCTCACAAACAGACCACAGCATTTCAGATTATTAGCTGAGGCCAAATTGTGCAAAACGAGAGCTCAAGCTCTTACACAGTGTAGTAACAGGGGTTCTGGCCCCTGTTAGAGCTGAGTTGTGTTTTAAAAATACAGTGGAAAATCTACTTCCTTTTTATACACACAATCAATGTCACTACAATAAGAATAAAACACGGAAGAGATTATGCTTCTCAACAGTCATAGCAGTAGGGTCTAGAGGACAGGAATGCCTTTTCCTTCTCCATTGATGCACATCCTTCTGTTCATATCATGTTGGGACAGCAACACCGACGATGAAGCATTTCAGGGGTTTATTGACAGTTTGGTAGGTAGGTGGTGAACAGCCAGTTAAGAGAACAAGTGTGTCTGGAGCAAAGAATAATTGAAGACTTCCTGGCTGCAGTTCACATCAAACTGCTATAAATTAGTAACACAACTGGGCCACTTAGTCTTCTGTTCTGAGAATGGTTTTCTCTACTTGAGTCAACTAAGTGATCAGATCAGTGGATGGATACACCAATTCCTGACCTCAGAGTTTTTATCTGCATGCTGATGCATAGGTATGGTTGTAAGGCTTGGAGCAGGCTCAAACCAAGACGTCTATCCTATCTTCTCTCTAGTCATGACCATACATAAACCTGTATTACTCAATATTTGTTATTAAAACCAGTTTTATCATGCCTAAGGCAACCATGTTAAGCCTGAGTGAGCTCTGGAACACACTCTGGTAGTCAGATAGAGCTGGGAGTGTTTTCAAGCTGGTCCTTCTCCTTACTACATTTAACCACAGAGAAGATAGCTAGCAGAAAAGTTAACTAGAACTTTAGTACCTTAGTTCTGATTTACCAATAGAGAAATGATCTTACCTTGATAGCATTTTAAGGAAACCTGTACAGGAGAAATAGAATAGATACAACTGCTCTCTGGGTGTTTCTCTTGTAGAAAAGCTTTATGAAGTTTGATAGGAAATTAATACATAAATTTATAGATGTTTATTATAGCTGAATGGAAGTGACTTATAAAGGCCTGCAGCTATTAAATCACTCCTGCCTCCAGTGGAGAAAGGCCAGCTAAGAGACTGTCGGCGTAACACAGAATGAAATAATTTCTCTTTTTAACCACCCTATACAGTCCTGTGCATGTGATGTAATTCTCTATTCAAATCCACAGAGAAGGTATAACTTCCTATTAGAGTCCATTGGGTGTTTGTATGTAGATTTCCTTTCACAGACTTCTTTGCATAGCCAGAAGATTCATTTTCTCTGAGTAAACTAAATGGTGTAGATCTTCTTCCTCTGAAGTCGTGTGTCACCACAAACACAGCCTACATGCAGCTGAACCTTGTTTTAGAGCCTATATTCTTGCATATGGTTGCAAATAGAGGCAAATATCACGGCAACAGAGCTATTTAACTAATGTATTGTCACACAATGATTAATTTCTCTTTTATTTTCAGTATGAAAGTCTGTGGCATAGACCCCCATATGGTAAAATAATAGGCTGAAAGATTAGCCACCACCACCATCTGTTACTCGTCCCTGATTTCACTCTCTCTTTCAAGGGTTGATTGCAATTTCAAAATCTTTCAGTCAACGAGTCTATTTTCTTTCAAGTTATTACCTAGATGACTTCAGTAATTCTATATAGATGGGGCCTGAAAAAGAAATGCTGAGAGCAGTGAACACACGTAATACATTTGCATAATGCAGTGGAAGAGAGGGTGCTGTGAGAGGAAATTCGCAGGTCTGGCATCTCGATTTAGCTGTCAGTGTTTACAAGAGTGTAACTCCATTGCCTGCTTTGGAGTCGCTCCAGAGAACCACACTACTGCTGCAAGAGAAATGAGGTCTTTAATGTCCCATTTCTTACCAAAGTCATCCATTGTGTACAAGTGACAGATAATAAACCATTCCTTCTTTTAGTATGCCTGCCTATTGCATGCTATTTTATTTAGATGAGTATTTATGTCTATATAGGTGAACTTGTTAAGTCCAAAACATAGGAAAGTAAGAAGGGTAAGGAAAGCCAAACAAAGAGAGACAAGCATATATCTTCAGTAAGCATGAAGAGGAAATCAATAAAAAAAGTATTCTTTGATCAAGATCCCCACTAATTTGTATGACTGACAGGTGCCAAGTCAAATTAACATGCACTGTAGTTTTGGCATGCAGCCATCCAAATGCATGGCAATCTTTGTAGAAGAAGCTTTGCCATTTGAAGTCTCGGTATTGCTGGCACAGCAGACACTGTTTTCACTGCGCAGTTATTTGTGATAAGCATGAATCATTCTTATGGATCAAGGTAAAGCAACCTAGCCTGGTAAGCAAGCACATGTTTAGCCTGTGGCAAATCCTACTGAAAGCAGAGAGAACCCACACTACCACTTTTTATTTGCTACAGGAGACACAGTATAAGCTGCATCTCCACATCTTATCAGCAGCAACACTGGAAACACTACTGCTGCTTCCGCAACAGAAGTAGAAAAAAATACCATTTCTAATAGCAACCCTATTTATGTTCCCATCTGAGCAGGAAACAAAACTCCCACCTTTGTGTTTTTGGACAACGCTGTATTTAGAGGTGTCCTCTTCCTTCCCTGTCTGTGTGCAAGTTCTAGCCAGGGACTCCCCTTCAGGCTGCAAAGTTTTCCCTTTTTAAACTTTGAAACTCTATGTACCATGTGGCATCAAGAAAGAGTGACATTTTTCTATGATATGGGTAAAAATATTCAACTTCTTTAGCAATGAAATGAAATTTCACTATTAAATTTTCAGTTTTGAATGGGCAATGGCTTTATTCCAGGCTATCATTAAAAACATGGGGACCACAGGATCCGCCTTCGTTAGTGCCCTTCTCTTGATACAAGCATAGAAAAATATTTAACTTTCAGCTTTTTACTCCATTCTGTCAGCTGAATGAATACTGAAGTGTTACGATTGGCCTGCATTTGCTCCACAAGCTGATTCAAATCACATGTGCTCTGAGCCACTGAGGTGTGGGCATATCGCAACTGCGAAATCCCACTCTCCTCCTCAGCCTGGTCTTGGGTCCCATTGCAGGTAATATGCCCTGTCAGCTTTACTTTCTAGATTAGACTTCAGGCATATGAAAATTACTTCCCTGCTTGTAGAGTGCCTAGCATATTAACAGGAAGCAAGAAACAAAAACCCTGAGGAGGTATTTCATGCCACATGGAGTGAACTTTGTTTTCTAGATCCATCGCTTCAATTGTTTGCTACGGGGTATCAGACCAGATTCTCCATGGAAGTAAATCAGCACAGCTTTGCTATGCGTGACAAAGCTGCCCCAAAACTGAGCTACTAATGTTTATGTGCAGAAACAATCTAAATGTCACTCTTATGTCTGGCTCATAATTCAGAAGACCATAATTGGTTGACATAGCCCATGTATTTGTTATTTTAGGGGGCTTGTTGGAAGGAGATGGCAAAGGTTTAGGAGTCACTGATCTCCATCAGCTCTACAAACAAGGCAAGACTGCTGGGCTTTGTTTTCTTTTGGGAACTTTCCAAGCATCAGTACTTTGCAAGTTACCCCCATAGGCAATTCAGTATCTGTTTCAAGTTAATGTGCTTTGTTTTTCAGGCCACAAATAAAATCAGAACAAAGCAAAAGTTCAGATTTGTTTGAAAACAACCCAAACTGTGTACCGTGTGAAAAGAAAGGTAAAAAGAGGGTCAGGGAAACTGGGACTAGAGAGGGCATGGGATAGGGAAAATCTCTCCAGAGGAGGGAAAGTGATTTTTAATATACAGAAAAAGAATAAACTGAAGAGAGGAGAAAAAGATAATAGTTAGAAAGTCTATGTGAAAATCCCTTTGAAATACTGGAGCTCCCTTTCTCCTAGGGAGGTTCTGGTCTCATTCATAAGAGGGTCAAAGGGACTGAAACTGCTAGCTCTCCTACTGCCGTGGTGTTAGAGAGGCACATGAAGCAGATGATAGCAATACAATCAAGATACTGGGCCAAATTCTGCCCTTGATTACAGTAATTCAACTAATTTGAGAACCCTGTTCGACATGATCTTTTAATTCTCTGATTCCAGAAAAAAACTATAGCACCAACGGAGGACTTGAATTAATCAGGTATCAAACACACACACACAGCTTTGTTAAAACAAACATAATGATAGAAGGATTTAGAGGGTATTTCTTTCCATAACACCAAAGAGCTGTTAACCTTTGCTTCCAAATTTGTCAATATGATGCTGTGTTATCTGATTTTCCCTCTACCTTATACTTGCTTTCATCCCACAGCTCTTTTCTCAAGAATGACACCAGAGTTAGGCTGCTAACTTGGTGCTGGGAGGACCCAGTTTTCCACAGTTCTTCATCCCTTTACAAAGACTGGATGAATATGGGGACAGTGGTCCCCATCTGTCAGGTGGGGATTACATTTTCCCATACGATATAAACAGGGCAAAGCAAAGCAAATGTATACTTCAGTGATGATCTCTGCTGGTACCTTTTCTGGATTAACATATTTTCTCTCCTGTGTTGGATGTATTGCTTTGTGAAGTCAGACTCAAAAATTTCCATTGACTACCACGGAAGCTGCATTGGGCCAGCAGTAGCCATAGTGATGCCAGATGGTAAGAAGCTATGCATGTGACTGTGATAGAGAATTGCCCCCTGAATACTAAATCCAGATGAGTGCATTGGATCCAAAGCAATCAGAGTTGAGCATGAATGCAGACAGAGAACCACTCCCCAACACAAAACCTAGTTAAAAATGAGGCAAGTATTTTGTGAGAAATTAAAGCAGGGTAAAAAACTATATTCGGTAATCCAACCACTTATCCATTATCAGTGGGGTAGTTTCAACCCTTGATTCAACAGGCAGGGTCACCTTTCCATGAAGATATGCAAAAGAAAGGAAGAGACCAAAAAAAAAGGTTAAAAAAGAGCTGATTTAACTTAGATGAATGCTGAGCAATGGAACTGACGGGCTCAAAGAACTGTAAGTAAGAGACGAAACCTTTGAAATCCATGTCACCACATCAAGACTGACTTCAATTCAGAGGTGACCCATAGCTGTTATAATACCTGGGTGATATTCTGGTAGCTTCCATGAATTGAGCTTGGGTTTTTAATCCAGTTAAGAGCATATTCACATCAGGCAATCCACAACCCAAACCTGCACTCTCAGGTAGTTGGAAGAAATGAAAAAACTAAATCGCATTTGTGACATTGAAAGGAATTGTGTCCTTGTCAAAAGCCAGAAATTAACAGGAGCAAGACTTCCTTGCTACACTGCTCTGTTTAATATTAAACCTCAGTGCCTGGATATTACAGTGAGGCTAGCCAAGGAGAAATTCAAGACAGATGGATGTGTTAACTGTCACCTGGGATAAGAAAGTTGGTAGAATGGAGAGAAAATTTATTGCTCCTCTAAATCGTGTGACTACATTTTGCACTATTTTTTTGTTGTTGTTGTTTGTTGATTTTTCTCTGAAAACAACTCAGAAAACTTTGCTTGTGCAAAAAACCAGCACAAGCAGTGTAGGCTTCACCAGGCAGAGGAAAACTTGCAGTGTCCAGTTATCACCTTGCCCAAGCATTTTATTTCCTTTTCAAGAGATAGAGAAACATGTCCTTACCTTTCAAAAGACCTCTTGCTAGCACCAATGAAGAAATGCAACTGAAAAGCAAAGCAACATTTGATATTGTTACTTTTCGTGATAAAGTTTCAAGGTTTTCTCATATAAGTAAGAAGCAGTGGTAGACAAGGAGAGAAGCATACAACACTCTCTTCTTGGATTAATGTACTATTAAAAAAAAATAATAAAGAGCCATTCCAGTAAAGCTGCAATAAGATAAAGAAAAAAGGAATCTTTACACACCATGGATGCAGCTAGAGGAGCAGTCAACAAGATGTGATTAACAACACTTTGAAAATATATCTCCACACACAAATTGAATGAATGAGGGCATACATTTTCACTATTGCTCTTACAATTAATCTATGAATGGTCTTCCCAGATGAGCTAGGCACCTACCCAGTGTCTAAATGTATTTATTGTCACGAGAAGAGACACTGATATAATGGCAATTTTGTGCAATGCAAATCACAGTAAACCACTAATTTCTAAATTTCAGCAGCTGATCTTGCATAGTTGCTTACAAATGCAGGCAGAGACCACACTGATTGCAGCAGTAAACTGAACTCATATCTCACATTGGCTTGAAAATGTAGCTTGACAAGTGTTGCTTAAACAAACCTGAGCACGTCAGTTATTTTCAAATGATTTACTCATTACAGTCGCTCACAACATAAAAGCCAACAATCAGTCATTAGCACGCAGCAGAGGAAATTTTCCCAGGATATTATGTACCGAGTTTGGACAGTTAGAACTCACTGCTATTATTTATTCATGCCACTATAAATTATTCTTCTCAAAATGAACCTAAGTCACGTAAAAGCTGACTTGGAAAGTACCAGAGGCCCCTCTTTTCCTGAAGCATGTATATTTCCTTGCTAATAAACTTCCTGCCTAAAAATGGAAAACCAAAGGCTTAGGTGTTTAAAATCAATGACTTGGAGGTACAGTTGAAAGTGCTTAACTTTTGCTGTGTCCCTTTTAAGGCTCTAAATTTGTCAGGGGCTTCAATTGTTCCAGCGCTGCAAAACAGCACTGCTGAAACATGTGAATAATTTCCATGCTAGTGTAAGCATCAGATTATTTTTGAAATAATTTTTTTTTTTTTAATGCTTATTTTGTCCTGTCAAAAAATACCCAACAAGGCACTCTAGATGCGCAGCAGTTTTGAGTAACTACGCATGGTGTCACTTACAGCAAGGAAACCAGAAGCAGTCAACCAGACCGAGTCAGCCCTCTGCACAGTGAAAAGGCTTTTGGGACTCAGATGCTGTTCACATTCCCAGTGTGATGGAGTCTGCTAGAAACTGTGCTGTAACACCAGTTCATCTTACGCAAGCCTCCTGATAGGTAACAATGTCGTCTCGTGGACATTGTTAACAGGGGTTGGATTTAAACCAGGGAAAATGAGGTCTGAACATCTCCCTGGGAGTCGTTATAACCAGCCAGAATCTGGCACTGAATTATCATTAAATTGAAGCCATTTCAAGATGCCTCTGTGGTGGTTCATTCCCACAGACACTTCTGAAAATAGTGGATGAAAAAAAGTTTTCCCCTGTTAAAAGTGGAAAAAAAAAAAAAAAAAAAAAAAAAAAAGCCCCAACCAAACAAAAACCCCATCAAAACTCCCACATTTTGAAAGCACGTGATTTTGAAAGACAGCTAGTCAGAGGTATGGAGGATGAATTCACTGGAGCAAAACTGAGTTGCACTCATAGGCTCAAGGGCTCTTGGGCTAATCCTGCTCCCACTGAAATAAATGAATGATGCAATGTCCTCTGAAGCTATCAACATTGTTGCAGAGTTAAAGCCAAACTTTTTCAACACATGGTCCTTAAGCATAGACTGCGTCATGCCCCTCAGCTTCCACAACAGCTCTACTGGTACCTCAGCATGTTGTGGGAACCAAGTATCACACAGAGCCTTGTCCAAACCATGAATGAGTTGGAAATTTTCGGTAAAAAGTTATATTTCTCACTGTATTTAGTACTTTCCCTAAATTACAAGAAATGTAGACATAAGCAAAATTTTGGTAGGTCTTTGGTGAACGCAGCAGACAGTCTCAGCTCTAACATGCTCCGAGATATTTGTGCTACAACTTCTGTATCTGACTTACACAAACACACGGGTCAGAAGCATTGCGTTCTGAGGCTAACTGCCTGCTCAGATCTGTGACAGCTTTATTGTCATACCATGGGAGAAGTAGATACCTCCTTCGAAAATAAGTTGAAATTTACTCTGTCGTTACTTTAGGAATCTCTGACATTTCTTTGGGATTTTCTGTCTGCAGCTCCAACAGATGCTGCTGAGAGAAGCAATTCTATTGACAAGTTTCCCCTGGAGCATGCTGTAAATGGTATGTCATACCTCTCAAACATTCTGAAGATACATTCTTGTTTCATTTATTTGGCAAAATTTATCTCATAGATGCAGGAAACATACACATAGAAGAAAATTATTATTGTTACTTAACTCACATAAACACTGATGAAGGTATTGGTAAATAAAAGAGTTGGTTTCTACTGATTGCAGCTGCCATAAAATGTCTTTTGAGAATTGTTTCTCCAGAGACTTCAACAACATGAGACAAGCAGTTTTGATTTAATCTTAAAGATGTATATATTTACATCGTTTGATAACTCCTTCTATACTTAGACATATCCCTCTCCTTTTTGTTTCAGGACAGGACCAAAACCACCTGGCCATTGACCACCTGTCAGGTTATTCTAGCATTATCTTTATCTGTTGTTAAAGCTTGAAGAGACAGAAGGTCCTCCAGACTAAAATCAAACAAGATCAATATTTGCAAACTCAAGAAGATCAAATAATGTGAACAAGCATCAAGAGACAGATCTTTGATGGACATAAGTTGTAACCAATGGTGTATACCAATTAAGGGCATGGCCCTTGAACTTTGGAATTTCTTCTGTAGGACCTTAGCTTTGAACTTCTGAGATCCCTATTTATCTATTTCCTTGCAGAGAATGTTTCCCACTTAAATAAACATTCTCAGGGCTCTTTGCATAGGACAGGGAGTCCAGGATTCAGATTCACTCATGATCTTGCTGAAATTAGTCATTTATTCTTTCAATTATTCAGCTATATTTACGTTTGCTATCATTCTACTGGGTTTTGATATTTTTTTTTCTTTTTTTTTGTTTTTTTCCCCCTCACGGTCAGGACGTGATCCTGGCAGGAAAGGGCAGCACAACCAAGACAGCTGTTAAAGAATTATCTCACTCATTAGTTTCACACTGGAAAAGTAAATATGCTAGCAAATGTCTTACACGTCTGTGTTTATTTGTGAGCAATAACTAGTTTGGAGAATGTCTACGGCTGTGACTTAAGAGCAATAAACCAAAACAAGACATGGTGGAGCAGGGCATGCCTGGAGCCACGCAGAGTTCAGTCCCCGATGCTCCCTCCTGTCACACAGGAGACCCTTCCTGGCCACGCTGTCCACAGGGGCAGATGTACAGGCAGAGAAGAGGCCACTTGGTAATATCCCTTAAAGAGATGTCAGCAGCGCTCCTAGTTTTTCTTCTGAAGTACTTGGAGACACAGACACTTCCATTTAAGCCCAAAGCCATCTGAAATGTGTTTGTTTACAGCCAATATTTACAGCTGACAGACATGCCAGATCCAGCAAGACACCACCTTCCCTCATCTCTCCAAGTTTCAGTATCAAATCATACACTGTGGTCTGGATTTCTTGAAAAATTGAATTTGTGAATGGACCACAGCCTTCTGTACTCTGCCTGCCCCACTGGCACATGGTTCATAATCAAAACCTTGACAGACCTGCTTGCATCTCATCTGGTTTTGAATTTTCCATAATTGCCTCAATCTTAGGCCATAAAATAACACTGTTCACTATGGACAAAGGCAGTGCAATAGTGCATACTTCTCTCATACTCTTCCTCAAAGGCGGCTCACCTTCGACCTGTGAGCATAATCTTCAGAGGACACAGAAAATCAGGCCATAGCTTGGTGTATGCAGCCATTCTGGCCATGGCTCCTCCATTATTAGTGTCAGTAAAATATTAATTCTAGAGTTTTAATAAGAGGTTTTGCTATTTCCTGGCTAGTGTACAGCTGAGGTAAATTATAGCTGCAAGTACACAATAGCTTAAAAAAACCAAAACAAAACCCAACAAACAAAACTTAGATCAAGAAAGATCATTAAGTTTGGATGGTCAGAACATGAACCATAAGCAAGTAGCAACTTCTCAGGATAATGAAACTAAGGGGTTTACCTCAGAGCGGACATCAGGTTGATGTGCATAAAAGGGAAAAAAGTACAGAGCTGTGAACTTTCAATCATTTAAATATTCAGCAAAACCCCTGAGTTCTTCTGCAGTTTCTGCTGGCTTTTGGTGGTGGGTTGTTTTTTTTTTGTTGTTGTTGCTGTTGTTTTTTTTGTTTGTTTGTTTGGGTTTTTTTATTTGTTTGTGTTTTGTTGTTGTTGTTTGTCTGTTTGTTTGTTTGTTTGTTTTAAAATAAAAACAGTTGTCTGGACCATTCAATTTGCATTAGTAAATGAATTATGCACAATAGCTGAGAATCACACTGTGAAGCGATGCTTTCAATAGAATACAGGATGTACTGGATTAGGGAAAATTTAGACTACACAAAATATCAGCTGTTTCTTTCAGTAAATTTGCTGCAACAGGACTTTTTTCCTAATCCTACCAGCTGAGACTTTCTGAGTCTGCATCCTTAAAGTTGGTTTTATTATTATATAATAGGAATAAAAAAACCTCATAAACCTTGATTGAATACAGAACTAGGCAATTCAGGGATTTTCCTGTGACTTATAAGATCACCTTTTTAAGCAGTTGTTGAAGCATCCAGCCACTCATGGTGCCAGGATAGAAACCTGCAGAGCCAGTATCTTACACACAGCCAGCCACCAGCAACAGCAGCAGGGACAGAAGAGAAGGAAACCGGTGAGGTTGTTCTCACAGGAAGTTTTAATTTGCTGCTCACCTCTAAGTGGTGCAAGTTTGTAATGGCAGTTGTAGATGCACACCTGACAAAT